CTGCATTACCCAAGAAGCACTGGACTAAGACTGCAGCGAATGCAAGAGACACTGCTCTCCCAGACATTTGGAAGTTGGGAAGAGGTGGAGGAAAGGAGAAGGGATTACATTCACTTCTTTTTTAAAGACTGTTACTTCACTCCAGCCTTAAGCTTTTCTGCAAAGTTAAACCACTTAAAAAAAAAAAAAAAAAGATTTACAATGGAAACACCGATCATCTTTATTGTAACGGCAACAGTAGTTTCATTATAGTAAAGAATGTTAGAGAACTTAAAAATTTGTATAAGCCAAGGTAAAGTAAATTTACCAGCCTCTATAAAATCCACGGCTATGAATCACACAAGATAATCACTTGGCTGCTATTAATATTCCATTCCATGTTTTAGGCTCCATACTGCGCTCAGTATCTTCAGGCTCCCTATGCTATTCAGCCAAGCCTCCTTCCTGGTCATATTAGTGTATCACATCTAAAAGCTCTTTAAAATCCAAACAGGATTAAAAAAATCTGGTAGCATGTGCACCAGAAATCCAACTAATTAGCTGCCTTATGTTACCTTCAAGAGGCTGGTTACAAAACATGTGTATTTCAGTGACAAGGAAAAAAAAAAGATGCAAAGCATGTCAGCTATGAGATAACTGTGAGCAACGTACAAAAAGCACAAAGGGTTTAAGAAAAAAAAAAAAAAAAATGGCAGGTCCAGTTTTTAATATTTCCACCAACAAACATGGCAGCAACCTCTGTATTAAGGTTTGAAAACCAAAGCCTAGGTACTTTAGTTACGTTTAAAAAGGATATGGCTGCTTTGATAAAAACACATTAAAATGCCACCACACACAATCTCAAGTATCTTGCATTTAGAGGGACATCCTGCTTTTGTTATAAAACTATAGCCCTGCTACGCTTCTTCCAAACCTCATTTCCTCCCGGCTCCATCCATTTACTGCTGTTCCCTACTCAGCACTTTGCAGGCTTAGGGAGCAGAATGATGACCAACAGTTGGACACGGATATGATGATGCAGGAGCAGAATGAGCAGAGCCTCCCATACTATAGGGAGGAAGGAGGAAGAAATGGAAGTGGTATTGGGGTAATGTTCACTACTGATGGAAGTCTGCTATCCAACACTGCAGCTGGAGAGGCTGAGAGGTATGACTACATAGCCTTTCTGAGGACAGATGGAGGGAGAGAAGAGAAACACTTAAGCGTGACTCATGGGATCCGAGACTGACCAGAGCATTACAGGAATCCTTTGCTTCACATTGATAAAAGGACATCCCTCACCCCAAAAGCTACAGAATTTCATTTTATATTGTCTATTAAAGTTTTTCCTTGGAACAATTTTAAAGAAAATTTCCTTAATACCAAACGGAAACCAGAATTTTAAACTGTTTTCAATTTCTCTTCCCTACTCTGCCCACCTATAGCCAACCTTCAAAGAAATAAAATAGAAGTGATGGATATGAGCAGCTGGTAGATTATACATTTGAAATTGTATAGAAGGAACTGTAGTTTGCCTAAAAGTGGAATGGTAATCTATCCTGCAAAGACAAAAAGATCTTCCATCCTAGTTGGAGGGTCTTTTCTAAATAGAGTGGATCACCTACAAGTTTCCTGAATGCTTTCTATGAAAATGGTGAATGAATCACAGAAACACAGGTTTGCTCCCCATGTTTCCTCCTCCTCAATTGGAATTCATATTACCTACAGTTTTTCTGAGAGAATAAATTTGTATCCACAAAAATATGTTAAAGCATAGGTTCATTTTTCCCCCATATTCAAAAAAGGAATAATAGTTTTTATAGAATTCTTACCAGCACTGGGAAATCTAGTCTACTTAACGATTTGTAAGTATGGTTTCCACGTATCAGTCTCAAACCTTATTGCTTCACAACTGCAGTATCCCTTGAAAAAAATATATATTTAAGTGGTCTGTTAATTTGTCTTAAATGGCTTTCAGATTTGGTGGGGGAGGGAGAACAGAATGGCCAACAGAGAACAGTGACTTCAAAATATTACTGCATAAGGGTTTCCTCTTATTAAAAAAAAGGATACACTGTATTAAACAGCTGAAAGTAAAGACAGCATTCAAAGCCCATGAGTCAAGCCACAGCCAAAACCGTGTTCTACCCCTAAGTATATTTTCTTTTCCTTTTTTTTCTTTTTTCTTTCTTTTTTTTTTTTAAACAAAGATTTCCTCAACTGCCATTTAATCTTCACCAGAGGGTGCTTCATCTTCAGACCCCTCATCCCCTGACTTCTCTGGTGGAGGGCTGGCTGATTTTTTCTTTTCTGGGGGACTTTCAGGCTCTTCATCCTCTTCTTTGGGGGATGGGGTCTTTTCTTTTGTTGCCTTGGAAGCTGTAGGGCGGCCTGCCTTCCCTTTGCCTTTCACTGGACTGGGGGTCACTGAAAAAAAGAAAAAAAAAAAAAACCACTTATAAAAGTTAGGATTTGTTACCAAGACAAAAGTTACACAGCTTTACAGAAGCAGGATTTACACCCGAATAGCAGGTTTCATTTTTCTCTGACCATACCACATGCATGGCGTTTCCCACGTTTCATATTATCAAAGCTGCACTGCATAAAAACTGATAGCTAAGACTTTAATACTACTTAAATGCAAGTCCTGACTAACTATTGGATATGACATCATTAACTATCATAGCTAGCCTCTCATCAAACCAATATGTATGCATCTATTATTATCTAGACCTCCTGCAGAAGTGCACCAAAATTACCTTTGGTTCAGGTTTCTTCCCTTTCCCCCTACACTGAAAACATGTCATGGAGACTGAGAGCCTGAAACAAAATTACGGATTATATTATTTGGATACGATACATAGAAAGCCAGACTGTAGTGTCAGAGTAGAGAAGTTGTGCAATCTAATGTTTTTGCCAATGAGACATACAGTAATTCAATCTCTTCATTAGCTAAGAATTAAAGCTATTTTATTATTTCATAGGGTTGCTTCAATTCATTGCAAGTTTCATGAAGTATCCTTAGAAATTACACGACTGCCTACTAGCCCCAAGATTTCCACCGAGTCTTATATAGCAGAAAAAGAAAACACTAGTTTCTAAAGTAAACTGGCTAATTTTCTTTTCGTGGACACACCTGTAGCCTTTAGCCTAGGCTTAGGCATTTTCTTTTCTTTCCTCTCTGGTTTGGACTTCTTGGACACCTTTTTATTTTTCTTTTTTGAACTGCCATAGTCACTATCATCGTCATCTTCCATGAGGAAGTCTTCATCACTTCCTGAATCTTCTGAAAGGACAAAGAAATTAAGCTTGTGAAGAAAAACTTTTCATTCATTTGGAAACAAGTAGAAGAAAGATGATTGAGATACCTACTAGTTAGATTGAGGAGACATGAAATTAGAACTCTAACCCGATAAGCTTCCACATAGCTGCTGTACTACGGAATTCTGACATAGAAGATTTCATATTCGTAGAGATAAAGCAATAGCATGATGAAACACATAAATGTTTTGAGATGCTTCAACTCCATGCCAAATATCCCATTTCAAAATGAAGAGAAACTCTTCACACAGAAAAAGTTAAGTAATCTTTGCAGTGGTATTCTCACTCCTTGAAATCCTGTTTGCACCCACTATTTCAGGAACTTACTGCAGTTCATTAAGAGACTAAAATCCACCCCTTTTTATGAAACAAACAGTTCTCCTTTGAGCAGCCAGGTGTAACAGTACTTTCATATGCTCTGAAAGTAGCATCAATGCCTCAAAACACATGGAATAGCAAGCAGCAGCAAGAAACATTAAGAACTTTATGGGCAGCCCTAAAGGGGCATTGTGAGGACGTTTATCTTTGCTCCAAACTTAGGACAAAAATTCTAGATATGAAAACGTAAGCTTACTCTGTTGGACAGATATGCTATAATGAATTAGTTCCCAAGCAGGAAAACTTATGTCCTCACTGTCACGTTCAAGACAGTGTTAGTTCTGCTGTTTGACCAGATCCATTAATTCATATCTGGTACTATGTAATTAATGCCACATTAATTTTTTGCAACTGCCATACCACCCCATTTACTTACTCTCCTGGAACTGTGCCTCATCATCCTCCTGTTCTTCCTCCTCACTGCCCACATCATCCATAAGCATCTCTCGTTGTTTGGAAGCTGCTTTGGATGCTGCCTGTCGCTGCTGACGCACATTTTTGTGGTCTTCTTTCTCATCCTCACTGTCCTCTGCAGCACAAAGTTACCACGTTACAATGAAGACGCAGAATACAGACTACATAACTGTCTTGAGGTATTGAGTAGACAAAACAAAAGTCAAGTCATACACAAAAGAGTGAATCAAGATGCTTGCTGAGTAATTGAGTTGCGAGGAGAACAGTCACATTCAACCTAATAACAAGCCTCTTTCTGGACTCAGTCAACACTGGACCTGTGCAAAGACTAGCCACACTTTTCACAAGAGTGCCCTGCCATCCACTGTTATTATCCATACTATTACTCATGGTACGGCACTAAAGCACTTCTGGTGACACCTCTGAAGCAAAACGTATTGAAGCCTGAGATCTCATGAAGCATGCTTAGAAGGCACAGCTATTACTACACATCCAAAACACAGTAGTTCCTTACTGTGCAAACTGTAACTTATCTGCAATGCTGAAGAAAAAAGAACTGCCAAAGCCTGTAGCTATGGTCAACTAGTAGTATTTTCTCCCTCTCTTACGTTTCAAGAAACTTCCTAAATTACGTACCCCTTCCATCCTACTTTATAAAATCTCTGTAATGAGTGAAGCACATACACAACGCAGAACTGCTGCAATATAGTACAGGGACTGAACACATCAGCCAATATTCATACTTACGGAATACTGCACTTTGTCATCATAGCAGACTTTCTAAACAAACAAACAACAAATTAGTACACTTGTTTCTTTACCTGCTGGCCTTTTTCTGGACTTGGAGGGTCTCTTATTCTTTTCTGGTTTAGCCTTTTTTCCTTTTTTGCTTTTTTGAGAGCTCTCATAGTCACTGTCAGCTTTGCCATCATCTGCTCCCAAGTCGTCATCTTCACTGCCAAAATCTTCATCTGGAAAGAAAAGGTGAGAAAATGAAGTTTCTTAATACCACTCAGTGAAACATATGGATGAGAACCATCGGGAAGAGATTAACAGCCTGTGAAGTTTACATCAGTATCCTATTAAGCAAAAAGTATCTGATATCCCAAACCAGCGCTGGAAGTAAGAGCAGTAGAAGCAGCATCCAGGTTAGATAAACTCATTAGAAAAGCATACGCTTTTCTAATCAGCATAATTTCTCTCCTATGCTAAGTCCTACTCCTGCAACTTTCTTGCAAACTGGTCTTCATTTTGAAGTTAGGCTAGCAGTGGAATGTGGTTAGTTACCTGGCGAGTGTGAATCATCTTTCTTCGTCTTCACATCTTTTTCTTCTGAATCCTCACTGAAAAGGAAAGAGAGAGAGGGTCTGCTTCTGTTTTAACTCTGATTCCAAACAATATTATATGAAAGAGATAACAGTTTTCAAAGAACTGATTTCTGGACCATGAAAATATGTACTTTCTTGGAGATTGCCACCTTATACTTGAGGACTACTCAGAAATATGCAGTTATTATGGTTGGAAAAGGTATTTTTCAAACTCTGAATCAAGTATAAGTTTACACTGACAGTCAAGTGAACCAATTAGGAGACAACAAGGCTGAGATGAACTAAGCACTTCATTTTGAAACCTAACAATAATCCAGACGTCTTCCATTTTACAGTTAGGATTCTGAAGTTTTATATACTAATACATGGCTGAATACATACTCTATACATTCATTCAGAATAAAAATATATTTACTTCTTGCCTTCATCTCATTACTTTCTCTGGAATCCTTCATTCTGACTACAGTGCTAGTCAGAACTAGCACTGCAGTCCAGTTAACTAGCGCTACAAGCTCTCAAATGGTTTGAGCTCTGATGGAGTTTCCCTACTCCGCTCTGGTGGTGCCTGTTTCAATCCTCAGAGAATATCTCTGTCAAGGAGGTACTGTTTCTGCTCTTATCCACATCGCTCTGGTTTTTCATTACCATTGGCCAGAATTATCAGGCAGAGAGGGTCTTCCTTCCAGCATTTAAGAACGTGCATTCCAGCCAACAACTAAACAAGTGTTTGAAGTAGGAATGCTGAATACTTTGTTGAAGGCCGCTGATGTACAACATGTGTTTCAGGATGGCTGAGCTGCCGATTTTGCCAAGGGTCAGGAAATACAATACACCAAAGCATTGCTACTTTCAAGTTTGGTCGTCAGAACTGACATACAATATTTCTCAATAACTTTTAATAGTTTAGATAACTTATAACACTAGAGTCCATCAGGCCCACTTGTTTTCAGTCTTATATCCGTTATATCAAAAAACTAAATTTCAATTACTTGCATATATGACTTCGTTTCACAAGCAAGTCCTGTGCAATGTTCAAAGTACCGACAGAAGTGCTAAACCCCAAAGCTAAAGGGACTTCAAGGTCAACCATTTAGCTGCTTTGGGAGCTGTGTAGCCCAGTTAATTCATGTAATATCACCTCTGTAAAATAACAGTTTTTGAATTCAGGTGTTATGCGCCTTTGCAAGCTCTTCTCTGGCAGTTTGACCTCTAGTATTTCTGTAAGTGTTGTAAGAGTGAAACACTTGGAGTGGCCTAAGGAAACTGCTACGATAACACACTCAGCACTAAATCTGTCAAGCAATGGATGAACTAGATTTATCCAGAAGAAATAAAGGTAGATGTTTGAAGTATGTACTTAACACCACCTTTGCATGAAATTACTATTCATCATTTGTGTCAAAACAGTGCAACACAAGCAGGAAGAAAGGCATTCTTCCCTGAAACTCTTAAAAGGTAAAAACACACACCCATATCTCACACCCTGGTGAAAAGCCAGGGTGAAAATTGTCTCTTCTTCGCAGTTCACAGTAGCAGGCAGACCATTCAAATATTCCCATGCCTATATTCAGCTTTTACCTTAGAGCACAGAAACATAAGGAGGGACTCTTCTTGCACACACCCTGCTGGTAAGTTATCTACATTCTATCAAACAGTACAAAAGAGTTGAGATACCTTGGGCTTACATAGTAAGAATCAGCCTGCACAATCTCCATCCCTCAAGTTGGTTTCTGCCACAAAAGCAGTCAATTGACTTAACAGGTTTCGTTTTTACCATGTTTCTTATGGTGATCTTTTGCTGATAAGTATATTGTGAAACGCAAGATACCTTCACTCTACTAAAAAAAAAGACATGTTCCACTATTCTATAGGGCATCATTTAGAGTTGAGTCCTTTCACACTGGTACAACAACTCATCTACCAAAATAAGCTACTTTGTTTTTGAATTAGACAAAATAGGAAATTAAAAACAAAAAACCTCTAAACTAATGAATTACCCCTACTACTACTGCCAAGGATTGTTCCAATTAGTTATTATCCTCAAGAACGGCCTGAGAACCAGAGAATGAAATGCATCAAGCCACTAACTTGCCTGGATAATTGCACTGATTGCTGGGTTTTTTTTTTGTTTTTTGTTTTTGTTTTTTTTTGTTTTGTTTTTTTTTTTAACTCTTTATCATATTCTTTCCCATTCCAACTGTCTAACTCCGGAAAGCTGTTTTGATGCTGAAGTATAAGTGACAAATAAATCACACACGATTTCCCCAACTATTTGAATAAGAAAGATGACCTCAACGTTCAAGCTGGTTACGAAAGCTTTGTGACAGAGTTCTACATCTCAAACTGCAGACTCTGAATCCCACTTACAATCATTCCTCTGAGAAGACCCTAATCCCCACCTACAGGAAAAGGTTTGTAGACATGAAGATCTTATCCTTCATACTAACCTGAATTCTGACAACTTCCTTGCAGATGAGCTACTTTCATGCAGTTTTGAATAAGCCCCAACAATTAGTCCAAGAAAACTATAGCATAATGCCTAGAACCACAGGTTCTGTTACACAGCACAGAGCCATGCTTCCTCAACTGCTCAAAGGAATTCACTTATGCACAACAGATAGCAAGCTGTTCCTGCACTTGCACAATCTTTCTGCCTCTCATTCTCCCAGGAAGAAAAGCATAAAGTCTGTCAGGCAATCTAGAACAGAATTCCTCAGATTTTTGTTTCCTTAATCAAATTTATACAGAAACTGGAGGCAAATCGATGCCTGAAAGATGACTGACTCGAAAACAAAGAAAGCTCTTACAGAAAGGAGACTTGACAAGTTAAATGCTTAAAAATGGTGACTGAATTCCCATTCCAGGCACCAAACTTACTTAAAAAAAAAAAAAAAAAAAAAAAGCCTCTATCTCCATCAAGATAGGTAT